AGAGAGAGGGCAGCAGTTTCTAAGTCGGGGTGAGAGCTGAGATGCTGCCGCTGCGGGCACCATCAGGACAGGGAACATTCTGTAATGAGGTGAGCTGCCTGGCCTCTGGACTTCATGACTATTATGAACATAAAGTCACACGGTCACCGGACCGTTCTCTCAGATGAGAAAGGGCATCGTTAGCATCTTAGGGGATCTTGGATGCTAAAATCGATCTGATTTACACTGGTGAGGCGCGTGCCAAGGTGACACGCCTGCAGAGTGGACGGACTCGACCCCCCGACACACGAGGAGTGATACTCACTTCGCTTTGCAGCTGTTTCTGCAGCGCTTGCTTGTGGGTTTCGAACTCCTTGTGCTCAAGCGCAAGAGCATTTTCTGCTTTCTTTAATTCTTTCTGAAAAACCACCAGCTCGGGAGCTGGCTGAGCTATGCCTACAGAGAAAAGAAAGCCTGGTCATTGCCAAGCCGACAGTTTCCCATTTCACTTGACAAAAGCAGTGAGAGAGATTTCAAATCGTTCTTCCTATTCTTTGTACGCACATGATGTAACTTAATTCTATCAAATGGACTAAGAGCAATTCTGACTCACACGTTTCAAAACAACACAGTTTAATGCACATAAATGCCAACGGTACTAGCCTCGAGCCCTACTCCATGTCAGAGAAGCCTTTCAAATCCTCAAATTAACCGGAAAGCCCGCCTCTCCCCTCTACCATGTGCAGAGGCAGAGAAGGAGCATCCTGAGGTCCCATTTGATCCGTGCACCTGTCCCCGGCTCTCAGGGTCCAGGCAAAAAGCAGACAGTGTCCCTTATCTGGGTCACCGGAGGACTCTTCAATAAAGAGGGACTTCCACGGGGTTCCTAGCCACAGAGGCCGGTGGAGTTCCCTGGGCTAGTAACAGGGCCATCCTGTTACTGCTCCTTGGACCTGGAGGGCCAGGGAGGGGGGGAACTCCTGGAACTGGAGAGCGTGAGCTGGTGCAGGGTGCAGGTAAAAGGCCATCCCGCAAACGCTGCGGTCTGGCTTGGCTGAGAGGGGCAGGGCCAGCCCGGGGCCACTGAACAGGGACGTGGCAGAGATGACGCACAACCTTGAAACCTCTCCCCCGACCCCAAGTGCCTGAGGGGGCCCACTGGGCACCCCTTACCGACAGTCAAGAGGGCGAGAGGAGCCCAGTACCACCCGGAGAGGCAGATGTGGGCAGCTTTAAAATGTTTCTTCTTAGGGACACTACTAGTCATGCAAGAGCAAGCAGAAAGGGAGGAACTCAACGTGAGAATCTTCATTTTATAAAATCTTCCCAATTGACGCCTCCCTTAGAGCAGTTTCGTAAGAGGAAGCCAATCTGAATTAGGAAAACCCGCAATTCAGAAGAAAAGACTTACGGTTTAGGAGGCGCAAGTTTTCATTTTTAATCTCCTCCAGTTGCTTTTTGAGTAATTTATTTTGGGCCTGAAGCTCCAGTTTCCCTTCTTTTAGGAGCGGATAATCGCTCATCTCTTGAACCTTCTCGGTCAGCTCGTGGTTTTGCTTTGTTAAGGCTGCACACTGGGCTCTGACAGACTCTAACTCGAGCTGGAATTGGAAAAAGAAAAATTGTATTTTAACAGTGACTTTACAGTACAGCCGCAGCAAAAGCCAGTGGGCTACTCTCTCTCAGCCTGGAGGCACGATGTACTTAAGGTCGCTTGACAGAAGTTGCGTTCCCTGCGACAAGACGACCCTAATTATGACAATGAATGTCATCTTTTGCTGTGGGGCGGGGGCAAGTTCATCCAACTCGATTTATGTAGAAGCCTGTCCTACAAAGCAAGTGCTTTGGATTACCGTCCCATTTTCCAGATGCAACTAAGGACCCAAAAGCCATCACAGATTTGATATCTATATATATATATATTTTTAATATGAAAATGTGAGCCAGATACCAATAACGTGCTGTGAGGCGCTCTCCTTTTCTTACTGTAAGACATCTCATGTTTGGAGACAGAAACCTACCAAGTTCTCAAGTAAGTCATCATAGGTGGAAACATTTTATATACAGACCATATTTTAAGTTACTAAGGTCCCAGCTCTGTCCTTTGGACAGCAAGCACACAAACAAACAGAAATAAAGTAACCGTGGCATGTGGAAAATACATCTCCTTTTATTTTAACCTGTGAGATCCTGAGGAAGTGATGGGAATTTTACAGCTTGCTGATGGGAAGGGAGAAGAGGCTGAGTAGATACTAATGCATGCCAGCCACCTGCTATCGGCCAGGCAAACCCGTCAGCTCACTGAAGTCCCTCAGCAACCACGGGATGTGGACAACAGCCCCAAGTCCACAGACAAGGGATCCGAGGTCACGGAACTTGCCCACAGGCACATGAGCAGTGACGGAGACAGACAGGATTCAAGGAGGTCCCTGGGCCCCAAAGGACATGCTCTTTCTACACTTCTCCAGGAGACTAAGAGTGAAACGAAGAACTGCTGCATCACCCTGTCAGATAATAAACCATCTAAACAGGCGGAAGGGCAGAGCTCAGTGGTAGAGTGTATGCTTAGCACGCATGAGGTCCTGGGTTCGATCCCCAACACCTCCTCCAAACATAAAGAAATAAACCTAATTACCTCCCCTCACAAAATAAAAATAAATAAACAACACAAACACACCAAGAGGATAACTCGAGATAAATTACGTATGACTGAAACTAAAGTTTCATGTGTCGTCTGACATCGGTTTCAGAAAACCAGCAGGCTGAACAATTACCTCAAGTTCTTTCACACGCTTCACAGAACGATCGAGCTCTTCCTTTTTAAAACTGAGCACTGCAAGCTCCTCTTGCAGGTGTATAGCTTTTTCTGAAAGACAGGGCCAACCAACCACACATCATCATGTTTTCCCAGAGAACACAAAAGTCATTTAATAATTTAGAGCCAGTATGGCAGACCAAATGACCATTATTTCATAATGTAAAATAGCGGATGCGGGGGGAGGGCTAGCTCCGTGGTAGGGCACATGATCAGCATGCACGAGGTCCTGGGTTCAGTCCTCAGTACCTTCTCTAAAAATAAATAAATAAACCTAATTACCTCCCTTCATAAAATAGACGAGCAAGCAAACAAAAAACAAAAAAAGAGGACGTTGGGTCAAAAAAAAGAAATCAGTGGGCAAGTAAGAAATAAGCCTCATTACTTAAGAGGTGATGGGAAGTTACTTGTAACAGTTGTGTGTGGTGACCTTGCTCCCGCCACACACAACTAACCAGAGTTACACCATCTGCACAGAGCATGGGGCCCTCATGCCGACGGATCTGAATTTCTTTAAAGGCAGTTTCTTAACTGGTCTGTTAGGATTCTGTCATTATTTTGTCGTTTTCACTTCATCTAACCCAAGTCTATGTAGATATATCATCAAAAAGTACTTTGCTGACTTCACGATGGTACTAATCCCTAAACAAGTAGTATTCTCCTCAAGATAGTCGCCAAGGAGCAGCCGTGCACTGGGTGACCTTCTGATCAGTATCAAGGACCCAGCCCTGGCTTAGTCCCAGCAGGTCATCTGAAATGTTCACCAGAAGTTCTGATCACGGGCAAGTCCCCACAAATACACTGAGATGTAAAACAGCTGAAAGACTAAGCCCCAACTTCCCCAACTTTCCCAATCTCGGGTTAACGTATACAAGAGTTTAGGAGGTTGTATGTCAAGTTAAAATATCATGAAGGAGAAATAGATATTAGAAGTTAAGAGAAGTAAGAAACTAGGTCACAGGGGACCAAGAAGTTAACATGAAATTTTCTGTCAGGGAAAAATGAAATCTTTCATGGTTAAGAGTACCAGTATCTGATGGCAGTAAGTCGCTGCACCTGCTTGACATCAGATTTGTCAAAATACACTGAAATTAAGTTGGATAAAATCCTGATGATAAATCAGTGATCATTCTGAACATACAAAGGGTTAAACATGAAAGCTGCAAAAACACAGTAAAAACAGTAATTATTTTTTAATTTTGTAAAATTAAAGGGGCAAAAAGTATGTAATTTTGCAGTAAAAATAAAGTGTAAGGTATATATTTTTCGGATTATAGAACAGACCCAATTTAGGAAGCTAATAACCTGCATCAGAACTGAAAAATACAGCCTTTGGCTCCCGCCAAGAATCACCTTTATTCTGCCTTTCCTCTTCAATCAGTCTATTAGTTCTGGAGATGTAGTCCTCCTTCAGTTCCAGTTGATACCTGAGAATCAGAATGATGGAAAGTGAGTTCCTATCACTTTCCCAGGCAGAGTGCTATCAAAGCAGAAGGGCACTGAACAGGACAAGGCATGAACTTCAAGGTCACTCAAACTTTGAGACCAGTATCCAAATTCCATACATAAAAGGTCCAGTAAAACCCAGCTGCAGTGCTGTAAACTGGGTCCCAAAACTCAAGCAGAAGACGAAGGGGCACGTTATTGACGTTACCGAGGGCAGTGTTTCTCAGTTGGTGTCCACTGACACAAAGTGAATGAAGTTCAATTTACAATGTAGACAACAGACTAAATCCCAAAGGATAACAAGGCAGTCGCTTCTAATCCACGAGTCTGGCCTCCCCACCCCCAAGCAGGGTGACCCCAAGCAGGCTGAGCACAGTATTGAGAGCCGTGGCCGACAGCATCGTATCCAGCTTGGCAATACCAAAAGCACATTTTCATGGAATTTTACTTATCTCCACCAGCTACTACCAGCTGACATTCTAGTTCAGAAATGGGAGAAAGGAAAGAGAAGCACTCGTGTGGTCGATATCCTTCAAACTCCAACACTTGTCAATGTCACACGAGGACGACCAAGTCCAGACAAAGATACCAAACAGTTCCCTACTCCACAGCTAAGTTCACACACACACTTACATTCATTTATTCCAACACTTTACAACTACAGATGCTTCAGCTGCTAACTGCTGTATGAGAGGAACTGACATAGAATATGTCAATCAAATCCATCATTTAAAACTGACACATGAAAAAGGTGCTATATTTTTTTGTTAGAATTCTTTTAAGGAATAACCTCAAAAAACCTTTGCAAGTAGTACATAATGGACTATCAAGGACAAATTATGGACGAGGCAGTAAAAGGAAGCCAATGATTAAGGAATACCCAGAGCTGCTGAGTCGTGTCATCTCTCCGCCATGAATTCATTTACTCAATAAACGTTAACTGAACACTTACTATGTGCCAGACGTCACACTGAGCACTGGAGAGAAAAGCGACCGTGTATGGGCTTCCCGTCTTTGCACAAAGGTATTATTCATTGGAACACAAGAAAACT